TGGTGGGTGCAGGCTAATAGATTTCCCGGGAGGCTGTGGGTTCCTTGGCAACTCCCTTGGGCAGGCAGAGGCCTGAGCTCCTGGGGACGACTCTGTTCCCTAGGGCTGTGCTCATGGGCACGGTGAGCCCTAGTTTCTCAGCAGGTACTGAGACTGCCAGGCCTCTGATCAGGCTGCTTGTTGTCACCCGGTGTATTAGGCTCTGATCTTGGGGCCCCACAGAGATAGATGTCAGGTGGACTGGGAATCCTGAAGGGAAGTTGACTGACAGCTTTGAACACGCGCCCCCATGCCCCAGGTGCTCACCCACCCTGCCTCGGCATATTCTCCACCACCGTCTCCTCCCTTTCCACAGAGAGGGCCACAGGAGGCAGCTGGCTGCGCCTGGCTCACAGAGGAGAAGTTCGAATTGGGAGTTGTTCAGAGGTCCTGGTACAGCACCTACCTGGAGGTGGGACTTGGAAGTCACTTCTTCTTCCAAGCCTCCGTGTTTCTGTCTGAAAGGAAGCACATCGGAACCTCTTCAAGGTGGGATTCCATAAGAGAATGTTGGGACAGCGACTGACCTGGTGCCTGGCACGAGCCTTTGATAAGCACTAGCTGTTGGGATTATTGCACTTCTTACCTCCTGAACCCGTGTCCCACTTCTGCCCACTGTGGAGAGGACATTGGATGGGGGGAGCAAAGTCGGATTCAAGTCCTGGCTCTTCACTTACCGGTTGCAGATTCTTGGGCCAGTTGCCATCCTTGACCCCCTGCTCCCAGGCAAACTGTAGAGGTCTGTGCAGCCATGACTGGTTCCTCAAAGGAAAAAGGGAGGAACTGCAGAGGGTCACCTCCAAAGGTGGTTGCAAGGACCCTCGTGCCTGAGTGCCATGTGACTGTGCAGCTCCTCCCATCAAGAGCTGGGGTCCGTCTTCCCTCCCACTAAATCTGGGGAGCCTGTGACTTGCCTTGGCCGATAGACTGCAGCCAGGCGATGCTGCAGGATGTCCTGGAAGCTTCCCTTCTCGCCATGGTGGAGCTGAGCCACCAGGAAGTGTCTAGCTCGTCTGGAGAGACCATGTGGAAAGAGAGAAGCCAGCTGTCCTGCAGCCCTTCCAGCCTCCCCCGCTGAGGCGACAGACATATCAGAAGCTACCTTGGATCTTTCAGTCCCTGTCAACACCATGCGGAACAGAGATGAGCTGCCGTCCTCACCAAGCTCTGCCTACGTTGCAGACTAGGAACATAAATAAATGGTTAGGATTTTAAGTCATTGAGTTTGGGGGTGACTGTTGTGCGGAAACAGATAACTGATGCAGTCCCTTAGATCCTCCTGTACCATCTCAAACTTGGCTTGCACAAGGTTGAGCTCCTTGGCAACCTCTGATTGGACAAGGGGATGTTTAGCTGACTGTGAGGCAGCCAATCTATTGGCTGGTAAGTGACCAATCACGTTTTTCCTCTGGAGAGTATGAATGAGATCAGAGACTCTAGCAAGCCAGACCAGGAAGGAGGAGGGACCAGGAGACTTTCAATGGGAACTGGTGGCGGGGGCAACTTTCAGCCTTGTGCAGGCTGTTATGTCACCAGAGGACACCAAATTGGGGAGAGAAGCAGGAAAGGCAATAGACCATGAAACTGGGTTCTGTGAGGCTCCAATAAGTCCTTTAACTCCAGCTGGCCCGTGCTGTCTCTGCTTCTTGTAACACATGAACTCCAAAGCTCATGGTCCCTTGGCCAGCTGGCCACAGAACTTCTGCAGGGACCAGTTAGAGGTCTACACTGCTCCTCTGACCCCTTTTTCCTCATCCTTTGTGACACCCGCTAACCTCCATCCTGCAACATACACAGATTGAGGCCTTGTCCTCCAGGGCCCCAGGTCTGGCCATTCTCTCTCTGTGCTGGACAGACAGGGGTGATGGCCTAGAGTCTGCTCCTTCTGCCCACACAGCCCTAAAGCCTTCAGTGGCAAAGCAGAGGGGATGACCAGATTCAGCTCTACCCCAACCCCATTTGGGGTCCCAGCTCTTGAGACTCCATTGGTCCTGCACATAGCCCCTTCCACCCCCAGTCCTTGAGTTCAGTCACCACTCCCTTACTTGTCACACTAATAAAAGTGGTCACTAGTGTACCCCAAGCAGGTGCCTGTGTAGGTAGGCACTTTACAACACTAATTTCTGACACCTTGTAAACAGTATTCTTAACCCTGTTCTTCATACAGGACTCAGTGGTGATGATGGGATTTGAACCAAGGTCTGCCTGACTCTAGAGCAGGTACCATCTGCCACTCTGCTCTGTGACTCTAGGCAGGCTACTTCCCATCTCTAGGCCCAATAGTCTGACTTGTGAGGGGTAAACCAGGGAGAGGTTTGGGGTTTGCTGATCCTTCCAGCATTTACCCTCCTGGGTGTTTGCTGTGGCCAGGGCCACTTGCTTGACAAAGGCAGGTTCTCATTTTTGTCACCCTTCCTCTCTAAGGTGTGCCTGTCTTTTGGAGGAGCAGGCCTGGGGGTTGCTCTCATCTTGCTTTCCTGGAAAGAGAGCTGGACCCTCAGGATTCAGAATCTGCATTTTCCCTAGTAGTTTCTGACGATCTCACTCCCTTGGCCCCAGGCTGAAAGGTGAGCTGTGTGGCGGGTTCCACATCTCCACCTGGACTGAGCAGAGCGGGGCAGCTGTCAGGACTGTGGGGGGATGTGGGGGCCAAGGACACTTTGCCCCCCAAACCACTCTGGCTTCAGGTTCCTAGACATGCATGTGCCAGGGGAGGGGGTATCTGCTCTTCCTGTTTCCCCTGGAGAAAAGCCATGGAGAAAGTGGCCTCTCTAGTTTGGCTTCCCAGATGTTCCCCCTTAAACCTGGCAGGGCTCTTACAAATACTGGGGCCCACCACCTCTTCGACGGAGGAAGCCAGCAGGGAGCTGCTCTAGGCTGACCAGGCTTCCGGCTCCCAGCCTGGACTCTGCCCAACAAGCTCCTTTGCTTAGACCAACCAAGTCCCCTAACCCTAGACACATTCTCCCAAACGGACCCTCTCCCTAACTTAAAAGCCACCTAATTCTCTCAAGGACTTGAGTTTCCCCAGGGGGCTGCTTCCCTCCCAGTAGTCAGGAGTGAGTTGGCCTCTTGACTCCCCTTCTCTTAGCAGAAGCTTGAAGCATCCCAGAGGGGCTAAGTAATGATCCCATGGGCTTCCTCTTGCCAGGGACATGCCAGCTGGGGTTTCTAGGGCTGGGCTATTGGGGAGCCTGTGTGCTGGTCTCTCAAAGGTTCGTGGCCTGTTGGTTTCCTGAAGCCGCAGGTGTTATATCTGATGTCTTGATGCACGTGCCTCAGGACCCTTCTTCCTGCCTCTTGGGCTCCCCAAAGTGTTCTCCTGCCTTGGAATGGCTCTAGGAAGCCCTGATCCAGGTTAAGAAGTCTGTGGCTCCAGGAGTCTGAAACCAGACGCTGGTCCTTCCACTTTGAAACTGCAATTTCAGCTGAGCCCTCTGGTCCTCACCCTCTGCACCTGCACAAGAACTGGACTTGATAATAATCATTACTCCTACTGTCTCAGGAGAGCTTGCTGAGTCCCAGGTACTGCCCAATCAATAAACATACCCCGGCTCCCTCATTTGATCCTCCTAATGACCAAAAGTAGTACGATCGCCTTTATTTTACAGGTGAGAAGACTAAAGGAGTTAAGTAACAATCCCACACATTTGGTTTTAGAATTAGAACTTAAGCTCAGACCTGAGTTCAGACCTCAGGGCCTTCTAAGCACTAGTCTAGGCTGTCACCAACGACCTCACCTTCTCCATGTCAATATTCCAGGGTCCTATAGAAAGATGATTCCGTTTTTTCCCAGGACATAAAATCACAGTCCAGAGGCTTGACCATTCCCCAGAACCAGGAAGTCGTGGGTGGTGCTTAGGGGAAAGGGCATGGGTAGGGTGGCCCAGAAGTTGGCTACAAACTATATCAACTGGAGCCAGGAGCAGAGTGGCCTCTTAGAGATGCCTGCAGAATGAATGAATAAGTGAATGACACAGTGCCAACTCCATGTCATCCACTACATACGTGGTTTTGAAGGTGCTAGGCATGTGGCTCTCTAGTTCATGCTGGTTCAGGTGGGGAGTAAGCCCTGAGAAGAGTCCTGATTGGAGGAGGCCCTTCTGAAACATTCTGGAAGTTTCTGGTTGCTAAGGGGTCACTTCCCTATTGCTGTCCTTCCTTGTTCAGTTGAGTCTGTGCCACCAGTTCCCACATCTCCCTTGGCCTGAGGATTAACAGGCCACAGGGTCATACCAGGTCTGTGGGATTGAATTCAAGATGTCTCCAGGAGCAAAAGGAAACTTGGAGGAGAGAAGCCAGTCCCCCACCCCAACCCCGACCGAGTGCATTCCCTGCCCATCCGAGATTAGGGGCATGTAAGCATGTGTGCTGCAGGTCAAGCTGCTACCCAGTTCCTTCAGCCAAGGTCATTGGATTCTGGGAAAGTTACAGGTGATCCATCTGGCTCTTTACTGTCACCTAGGCCACCGCTTCTTGTGGCTGAGTTTGGAACATCTAGATTTGGTCTGAATGGGCCTGGTCAAGGCGGGGGCTGTTGTCTGGCCCTCTTGTTGAGCTCACATTCAAGGATAGGTCCAAAGTATGGCCTGGTGGCAGGAGGGACAGCTGAAAGGTAGGCTAGGTGTGTGGACAGTCCTGAGGGTAGCACACAGTAGATGCTCCATAAATGCTTGTGGAAAGAAGAGGAGGAGAGATCTGTGTGCAATCCCTGTATACATTCCAGCCAAAGCTAGCTGGGCTTTGCCTAGGGGCCTCGCAGAATGAGAGTGGAAGAATCCACGGTGCTCTGGGGGTCAAGAGCCTCGTCGCTCAAGCCGATGTGCCTGGCAGTGGTCTAGGCTGGTGTCCTAGAAGGAGCCTCTGGAGCTACCTCTTCCCCTGGCACCCGCCGCTCTGCCCCCATGGAGGTCCCCTCAGCGCGTCCCCCAGTGAGATAATAATGACCATAATGAGAACAGTCACCCACACGTGTGCACAGGCTTTACAGGTTACAAAGTGTTTCACATACATCATCTCATCAGTCCCTCACAACAGCCCTGTGAGGTAGGCAGGGCAAGGAATGCTCCCATTTGTACAGATGTGGACCCTGAAGCCCAGAGGAGCCCAGAGGAGCCCAGAGGAGACCTGCTTGAGGCTACACAGCAAGTGAGCAGCAGAGCTGGGGCCAGAGGTCAGGTGTCAGGCCAGCCTTTGGCTCCTGGCTCTCTCCACTGACTGTGCCATCCCCCAGGAGGGCCCCAGTCCCTGTCCAGAGTCCCAACCACACGGGAGCTGAGACTCCCCCAACCTCCACGCAGTAGAGCTGCCTGGCAGACAGGCCCCCAACCCCATTGGGCAGCCCTGTCCCCTCCACTCACTCCCTGCACCCAGCCAGCCCAGAGCAGCGCCCAGACCTGCCACCCAGCCTGCTCCTGATGGCGCCCCAGCAAATGGGCAGAGGGTGGGGGCTGGAACCTCCTTTCCTGTTTTCCTGAGTGATCCCTCCCCATAGGGGAAGAGAAGAGAAAGGAGGAAGAGAAAAACAAGAAACTGAGTTGGAAGAAGGCCCTGGAGCAATCAGGACGTCAAAAGTTTGCATTCCGACTAGCTATAGGAAATAGTTTTTTTCTCTTTTTATTATTTCAAGTTTTCATAAAAATCCATAACTATTGAAACCCAAGTTACAGAGGAAGTTCGTAACTTTTTTTTTTAATTGAATCATTGACTCTGCTGCCTGTCTGTTCGTCGGCTCTTCACTCCAGTTTGTCAATGCAAGCCCCTGTGCAGGTGGGGTCCCCAGGCCTGGACTTCTGAGGTCCTGGTAAAAAGAGGGCAGGTAGTGAGGGCTGGCGGGGGGCAGCGGGGGTGGGAGGGAGAAAGAGTGTGTGGAGGGGCACAGGGGAGGTGGGAAAGACTGGGGAGTGAGCAGCTGCGGCCAGGCCCCTTCCCCTGCCCGGCGCGCCGGGGGTCCCTGCCCCCCGCCCTGTCCTCATATCATCTTCATGTTGAACTTGCGGGGCGCGTCCGCCGAGCTGATGCCCGCGTCTGACTTCCGGGGCACGTACTCTATCTCGATGTTGTGCTTCGTGTTGCCCTTGCCCCGGCTCCAGAGGAACAGCAGCACCAGGCAGAAGAGGACCACGCCCAGGAAGGAGATGAAGCCCATGGTGGTGGCGATGATGAGGGTCTTGATGTCGAAGGGGAAAGGCACGGTGGCGCGGGTGCTGTTGGCCTCTCCCTCACCCGGCTGGTTGGAGATGAAGGCAAACGTCTTGTTGGGCTGATGGGGCCAGTCGGGCGAGTAGCTGCGTACGTGCAGGTGGGCGGGCATGGAGTCGTTGCCACCCGCGTTGGCTGCGATGCACAGGTACGTGCCGTTGTCCTGTACCTGGGCGTAGCGCACCTCCAGCGTGCCGTCGGGGAAGACCGTGAGCCGCCCATTGCTCTTGGCCGAGACCAGGTGCTTGCGGGGTGAGAGCCAGAGGATGGCGGGCGGCGGGTCGCCATCCGCCCGGCACACGAACTGCACCGTGTGGCCCTCATCCACAAACACCTGCTGGGCCTTGCGGTCCCGGATGCGGGCGCGGCGGCAGGTGAAGTAGTTGGGCAGGAGCACATCCGGGAAGTCCTTGAACTCCTTGCCCTGTACGAACTCGGGTGTGGCGCACGTGGGCTGCTGCCGGTTGAAGTTGAGCCGCCAGCGGCGCCGGAACACCCACAGGAGCCGGCAGTCGCAGGCCAGAGGGTTGGAGTCCAGGATGAGAGTCTCCAGGTTGCCCACCGAGTGGAAGGCGGACTCCTCCAGGGTGGTCAGCTGGTTGCCAGAGACGTTGAGCACACGCAGGTAGTTGAGGCCGCGGAAGGCATAGGGCTCCACCACAGCCAGCTGCCCGCCCACCAGCTGGATCTCCTGCAGCCGTAGCAGCTCATGCAACATGGAGCCCTCTATGGTGCCGATGGGGTTGTAGGAGAGGTTGAGGAAACGGAGATAGACCAGGTGGCGCACGGCCAGGTAGGGCACGGCGGTCAGATTGCAGTGTGTGATGGACAGGGACGTCAGGTTGAGGCCGTAGAGGCAGTTGGGGGTCATGGTGTCCAGATAGGGCCAATGGGAGATCTCCAGGACCTTGAGCCGGTACAGCCTCTTGAAGGAGTAGTCCCGGATGGCGTTGATGTTGAGGTGCCGGAGCCGCAGGACGATGAGACCGTGCAGGTGAGACAGCGCCTCCGTGGGGATGGAGGTCAGATTGCATTTCTCCAGCGTCAGCTGCTCCAGGCTGTTGAGGCCGCTGAAGGCCCGGTGGGAGATGTAGACGAGGTCGTTGTCGCCGACCTCCAGCGACTTGAGGTTGTACAGGTCCTGGAACATGTAGTCCAGCAGGATGACGATCTTGTTCTCGCTGATGTCCAGCTTGGTCAGGTTGCTGAGGCCTGTGAAGACGCCCAGGGGGATGAGCTTCAGGCGGTTGCTGCGGAGCCCCAGCGTCCGGAGGTTGAAGAGGTTGTTGAAGGCGCCGGGCTCCACGGCGCTCACGATGTTCTCGTTGAGCTCCAGCTCCTCTAGGTGCGGGAAGCTGGCAAACTCGTCCTGGTTGAGGGTCTTGATGCGGTTCTTGCCCAGGTCCAGCAGGCGCGTCTCCGTGGGGATGCCCTCGGGCACCGCCACGAAGCGCTTGCGGTGGCAGAGCACAGCACGGTCCTGGGCCGAGCACTCACAGCGAGGTGGGCAGCCTGTGGCCGAGCCTGACAGCACCGAGCCCAGCACTAGCAGGAGGATGGGCTGCCAGCAGGCCAGGAGGGGGCTGGGCATGCTCCTTGCGCCCCCCGCCAGCATCCTCTCGCTCACCTGTAGCCGGAAGCAAGCACAGGACAGAGGTGGCAATGAGAGGCCAGTATTTGGTAAGACCCCACCCTGAGCCCTCTGTGCCCCATCAGGGTGTCCCTGATGCAGATAGACAGGGTGCACAGTAACACAGGACACCTCTTGGGACCCCATAGTGAGGTCCAGATGCTCAGGTCAGAGGGCCTCCTGCTGCCCAGCCTGCTTCCCCCTTGCCTCTTGCCCTGCCCAGAGCCCTCTGGGCATCCTGAAGATAAGGTGGGTTCAGGAAAGGGACAGTGCCACCTCCTTAATCCCTCTGCTCCATGAGGAATAAAGCCAGCCCTGCTGAGCTTCCCTGGGGCTCACAAAGGGGATCAAAGTGGCTCAAGGGTAGAGCTTTCTGGGGAAAGCCCAGAGAGGAGTGAGGAGGAGCCTGCCTGGCCCCCAGCAGGCTGGATGAGGGCTTGCGAGGCAGCTGGGGCTCTGAGAGCAAGGTGGGCAGACACTATTCCCCTCTCCACCAGCACTGCGCCTAAGCCCAAGTCCTAGGCACTCAGCACACTTCTAAAAGTACCTGTTATTCTCACCGATCTGCTCCCTGGTGGGGCTCTGGGTTCAGGGTTGGGCATCCCCATCCAGAAGCCAGTAGCCGGCCCTGCAAATCCCAGCTGGCCACCCTGTGGAATCCCCCAGACTCTCCTTCCTCTGGGCCCCAATGCTGACTCAGCTAAGGCTCCTCAGCCCAGGGAACACGTTCTCCTGCATCCTGGCCTTGGCGCTATGGTCCTCCCAGAAGACTGCTCCCCGCACCACCCCGCCCACTGAAATCCCCTCTGGAAGGCCTGATTGAGGCCCACTGCTCTGTGAAGCTTTCTTTGACCCCCAATGGGGAGAGTGTTCTTCCAAAGACCCCTCACCCTCTTCTGCCTCTCAGGGCTCTGGTCAGCTCTCCCTAGCACCAGGATTCTGTGCAGCTGCTAGAAGCAGAAAAGAGCCGGGTTCCCACAGCCCAGGAGGGACAGCCCTGGAGGCTCTGGTCCACACTGCACAGCAAGAGCGTGAGGCTTGCTAAATGTGGGCCCTGAAGAAACGTGGCGCTTAGGCGTGGTGACAAGAGACAGTGCCAGGGATCGAGTACAGGCTGTGGGTGGAGTAAGCTAGGGGTGTGTGGGAACAGCCCCTCATTACTCTCCCATCCCATTTTCAGAGGAATCCCCCAGACACCTCCTGCCCCGGCCTGCCCCTCCCTTCCCACCTCCACAGTGGCAAGCAGGTGGAGGGGTGTTGGGGAGGCCTAGTTCCGACTCCAGGAGCCATTGCCTCCAAGTGATTGCAGGTGGACCAGACAGTCTGTGGACACAGAGCTGCAGATCTCCTGTTGCTGGTGGGTAAGGACCCATCTCTGCTCCTCCACCCGGCCCCCAGCACCCTTGAAACTCTGCGGCTGTGTCTATTTCCTATACTCCTGGCCCTGAAAAGGGCTCGCTGCATGCCAGGGAGGCCCCAGTTGGGTGTCCCACTCTGTCCTTCCTCCACCCCTCCCAATCCTCCCCATCTTCATACAGCCTCTACTTCAAGGCCACAGATCATCCATACTTGTTAATCAAAACTGTTAAGGCAACTAAGGCTCAGAGATGCTGTGGCTGTCCCAGGACACCTAGCCAGCAGAGGGAGCAGATGTGGGGTAGGAGCTCTGGTCTGTCACATTCCAAAGATATAACACACTCTGGAATGCTCCACTGGTCTTCCAGGATTGACAGGTGTTTCCTGGTTGTTGATTGACTAAGTGACTGATTAACCAGAGAGGACTCAAGATTTTGTGTCAGTGACATGTTATGGAATCTGGAAGGCTTTGTTATCCCTAAGGGCTCTGTCCAACTCCCACCCCCAGTCCTTTCATTCTCTTGCCAGATTCTTCTGTGGTTCAGCTTCTCTCCACCCCACCCCCACTAGGCCATTTTCCACAGTCACACACGCTCCAATGACCCACCAGAAAAGCAAACATCCTGACAGGCGATCAATAAGTAATTGGGCCAGCAGCTGGGACTGGCGCGGGTGTGAGGCTGGGGACCTCAAGAGGTAAATAGGACTTTTAGCACCCAGCTCAGGGCTGAACTGGTGGGTGGTGTGGGAGCTGCTGGAAAGGAGGTTGAGGAAGGAGAGGGACAGTGAGGACACAGGCCCCCTTGAGATGCTGGAAGTCCCTCATACAGAATGTACCTGGCATTCCACATTTTTAATCACCTGACCTTGACCTGCCCATCAACCACCCGTCAACCTCCTTTCCCACCACTCTCCCAGAAGTGCCATATTCCAACCTTTAAGCTGTCCCCTTTTGGAGAACTGTCCCAGCCTCCGATCCCAGCAGTCTTTGTGTTCCCACTCTAAAGGCCCTCCCTTCCTGGAATCCCTCCGTGCCCCACTCCATCAGCCATCACCTCCCCCATGGCGTTCTCGCTCTTCTTGATAGTGATACCGTGCGAGTCTGCATAGCATTCCTCATTCCAAAAGTGATTTGAACCCACTGCCTCCAATTATGAAAAGTTATGCTACAAGATGATAAAGAAATGAAAGCTAAAGAAAGGAAGTCAGGAAAGAATGCCTCAAAGTCCTGCATATGACTAAAGTGGAGCTTCCTAGTGACCTGGGCAAAGAGGGAAACCTGCTTCGAGGCCTCAGCACTTGGTGCCTCTCCTGTATAATTCAGACTGGGCCAAATAATTGCTGATGTATTTGTCCCACCTGCTAGGGTAAGGTGCCCAAGGTGTGGCACAGAACAGGCCAGGATGAGTGTTCTTTGAAACAGAGGCATGAGTGAGTTTTTGCAGGGGTAGAAAGAAGCCTCTATATTAGAGCAGATTATGCTAAGTGAAGCTAGCCAATCCCTAAAAAACAAATGCCAAATGTCTTCTGTGATATAAGGAGAGTAACTAAGATCAGAGTAGGGATGAAGAGCAGGAGAAGAAGATTAACATTTAACAGGGATGAGAGGTGGGAGGGAAAGGGAGAGAGAAGGGAAATTGCATGGAAATGGAAGGAGACCCTCAGGGTTATACAGTGGGGGGTGTGGGGGGGGGGGGGGGGAGGGGAGGGGAGGGGTGGGGAGGGGGGAGGGTGGAGGATGGGAAAGGCAGCTGAGCACAACAGACACTAGTATGGCAATTTGTAAATCAATGGATGTGTAACTGATGTGATTCTGCAATCTGTGTATGGGGTGAAGGTGGGAGTTCATAACCCACTTGAATCAAAGTGTGGAATATGATATGTCAAGAAATTTGTAATGTTTTGAACAACCAACAATAAAAAATAAAAAAGAAAAAAAAAAAAGAAAGAAGCCTCTCTAATGGGGCTGACCCTGGAACAATAATACCTAGGTTTATTTTTTTTCCCCCAGTATTGAGGATTGAACACAGGGGTACTTAACCACTCAACTACATCCCCAGTACCCTCCTCCCCTTTTAAATATTTTTAAATATTTAGACAGGGTCTCACTAAGTTGCTTAAGTTGGCTTTGAACTTGCCATCCTCCTGCCTCAGCCTCCCGAGTTGCTGGGACTATAGGTATGAGCCACTCTGCTCTGCTGATACCCAGGGAATTTAAATGTGTTGATGGAAAAGCTGGTTTGACTCGCTCTGTCTAGCTGCCACCAACAAGCCAGACAATTACACGCTCAGTGTGGTGGGCCAGGCTCCACAGGACAGGACAGCCCTGGTGGGCACATCCTCTGAATCATCTCATCCTCTGTCTTTTACAGGTGACTGCAAGGTGTGGAAACTAAGGCCTGGAGATCTTGACTATGCTCTTGTGGCCTAGCAAGATCGCAGCACGCTGGGCCTAGTCCCAGGTCTCACACCTCCATGGCATCCCTGTTATCTAGGGATGCTGGGGCCATCATGTCTGACTGGCAACGTGTGGTTCTTGCCTTCCTGGCATGGTCAGTCCTGCTGGCCACTCCTGCGTTGCTGCAGAGAGGTGTTTTATGCATTTTAATCAGTGCTTTAGTTTGGATCCTTGCCCCCTGAAGGGTTTTCCACAAGGGCAAAAATTAAAAATTGGGCCAATAAATAAAAAAGAAAATATAAACATCAAAGGCAGGCAGGTGGGCAGCAGAGACAGCTGTGCCCAGGGCATGAGGCACAGAGTCTACGGCAGCCCTGGTCCCAGATCAGGGGTTATTGGAGGGTGCAGAGAAGTGGGGCCATCAACCTGCCCTGCAGAGGGTGAGACCTGGGCTCTGAGCTGACCCCACAGTGGGGACGGACAAGCTCTAGTCAACACCCACACCTTCATGTGCCTGACACAGGCCACAAGTAGTTCTCTGCAGCCACTGGTCACTGTGTGACCTCGGGCAATGCCTGCACTCTCTAGCCTACTTCCCCCATTGCACAGTGAGTGGCTGGATTCCAGGGTCCCTGAAGGAGTTGGCAACAGGAACTGGACTTCTCCCAACTGGACAAGCAGGGGAGAGGCAGGGGAGAGGGGCCCAGGCTCCACACTGCAGTTTCACCTGAGCTGGGAGAATCTCCGTGAAGGTGGCCCCAAGTTGGTTGGGGGCTCTCATTCCAGCTGTTGCTCAAGGGCTCAAGACAAGAGGGTGACTGGTGGAGAAGGGGTGAAGGTCACTCATGGGTGTGCTTGGGGAACCTCAAAGGGAGTCACCCTGTTCCATAACCAGCATCTGGAGGCCCCTGGCAGGCAGGACTGTGTCTCCTTACAGCACCCAGACAGGTGGCCCACACAGCCAATCAGAAAAGGGGAGGGACTAGTATTTGGAGACCTCCAGCAATGGGCGGGGTTTGGGGCTTTTCACACACTGTCTCAGAAACTCTCCAGCAACACCTGCTTTACAGGTGAGAAAACTGAGACTTCAGAGAGGGAAGTCACTTGTCCCAGACCAAGGCAACAAAGCTGGGCAGTGGCAGACCTCTGATCCCTGGTGGGTCTGCCTGTCCTCAGAGCCTTCCGGTGTGAAGTGGGATTCTCCAGGATCTTGCAGGCCACTCCAGGGAGGGGCCAGCATGTC